TTGTATTATTAGACGAAAAAACTAGTTTAAATTTTATATATAGCCCCCATAAAAAATATTTTTTATTTTGGAGAAATGGTGTTGTTTGATGTTGAACACTTAGTAGTGGGAAGTGAGATTGAAGTAAGTTGAAAAAAATACTAACAGATTTATAAAATAGCAAGGTAAAAATATATACTTTTTACCCCCAAAATTTTCATTTTTACCCCATTTGGGGTAATTTACCGCGGTTCCCCGACCGCTGGTATAAACCATAAACGTGTAGGCATAAATATAGTTCGTTCGTGACGGGAATTCACTGTTAAATCCTTTTCCCGCCTTTTCCAAGTTTGTTTTATGTTTCCCCCAAAATCGGTCCCCAAAATGTACATGTAATTGCAATATTATAAATAAAAAAATATTTTTTTTGTGATGTAGCTGTACATTCACAGTTTTCGGATTTTTTCCATTGCTTCTTACCAAATTTTATGATTTTATGTCAACGGGAAGTACTTTGTGAGGTTTGATTCCCTTGTGAGTGTCAAAATATGCGGCATAAACGATCGTGCCTTTTGATTGCGTTGACTTAGAAGTTTGATTAATGAATTACAGACCTGAGTATCTAATATTAAAGCAGTCCTGCCTTTAATAATAGTAATCGCATCTTCGATATACAAATTATTGTAATGTTCGCGGGTTTAACAAATACACTTACGTAGTAACCGGTATTAAAATTTACAGAATAGAAAACAACCACGTAGTTAAATAGTTTATTTAATTATTGTTGTTTCAAATTATTTTGCCGTGCAATATTTCGTTTGATACGNTTTATCTCTTGATTCACCTCTGCAACGGTCAATTTATTTCTACTACTCTCGGCGATCGTCTCTCCCTTTAAATACTCTTTTGGTCCCTTTCGGGAACTTTCTCGAGTCGTCCAGAAAAGTCTCGTTTTCTTTGAACTGTTTAATTGCGTTCCCGGAACGCAGGTACGACACACACATTTAAAAATACGGCGCACATGAAGAAAGGCGCCCGCGGTTATTCGGCAAATCGATAAGCCGTTCACACACACATATGCCCGATCGCATACAATCACGCTCGTGGTCGCTACATTATAAAATAGAGGTGATAATATTCATCTTCGTCTAACTCCCTTCCTAATATTTACTTTTGTATGTTGGTGCTCAAAATCTATAACTACCTGTTGCTTATTATACGTATGAAATCACTCTTCTATCCCTAAATCTTATTTCTAAATCCCTAATTAGGTATATTTTAAATATCTTCTCTCAAAAGAAATTTTAATTATCTCTGATTAACTTATTATTAGATGGTTTAAAGACTATAAATATTATTTTCTCTGCCGGTTTAAGATCGGGTCAGAAGTCATGACTAGGCGCTTTTGAAAGCTTGAACCGACACTGAACACGTCCAACATGATTGCTGTTTATCACGAAAGGATACATTCACAACTGGCTTTTAAATGCGCTCGGTAGCAGCGAATAGCGGTAAAAAGCGACGCAGCAAGGCAATTTCTCATGTAAAACGATCATTACATACCTCTCTGAAAAGTACCTATTGATTGCAATTTTTTGAAAATAACACGGGTGAAAGAATCGGGCATTTTTTTCTTACGATGGAGAATTCCTAGAATTTAACGAATGGAATCTAAAATTTTTGATACCTTTCCAAATTTTGCTGGTTTCCGAAAATTAAATCATTCTATTCAAAAGTAGGTAAAATTTCAAACTGGACATATGACTAGTATTGGGATCCGTTAAATGGACATACACCATCTGGTGGCAAAATTTATAACTCGAATGAGGGAAAAATTTACATAGGAACTGTGCACGCAAATTGTAAAATTGTTTATTAAAATAATAAAACACGTTAAAAAAGTAAAATTTTTTTGATGATGGAGTCGACGAAGTTTTCTTCTTAAGTTAAATCAAATAAAAAGTTAATATGTTCAGTGAAAAGCTGCAATAGCACTTCAGACATAGATCTTCACTCTTCATCTACATTAACTACTTTCCAATAAAAACTAACCGTTTTATATATGTAAAAAATATATTCGGAAAATTAGAGAAAAAAGTAAACTAATAGAAGCTTGGATGAAAGCAGTAGGTATCAAAGAAGTGAATTCCGGAATAAAAATTTGTTCACGTCATTTTAATGCACATGATTATATTTCATCAAGTATTTACCATCAGCCATAACCTTAATATTGAAAACTAGAATCATACTAAAATTATAAAGTGAGAAAGTATTTATTCCTGTGTAATTGATTTAACACAATTCTAATGATACGATATAAGTATTTTGAGGTTAAGAACCTACCTGCTGCAATACAACAAAGTTGCAATAATGTGTTTGCAACGTTCTCTTAAATCGGCTTTGCACGTGCAAGTCATTGATATGATATTGCTTAAATCACCCAGAATCACCTCACCAATTATATAACGTAAATCACTTTTTAAATCCGAAGTTTGTAAAAAGTAGGCAGTAAACTTGACGGAATTTGAAGGCTAGCTTCCGGATTTGTTATTTCCGAATTTTATAATGTGATTGGCATTAAAAACACGCTCACCTTCAACGAAATTTCCTTTCCGAGGCTTTGTGTCAGCCCAATCACATATTGTGTCAATACTTATCATTTTTTCGTAATTTAAAAACTTGGAAATTGCACGGTACACTATAGGAACTACGATAAATTTTCCCTAATCGGCGCCATGTTTTTAGGCTCCTCCCATTTGACGGATCCCAACAGTCTTCAAATCAACTGACAAATCAGCGTAGTTTTGTCAATATGCAACTCAAGGTCATGACCCACGAAATTCTAAACTACTTCTACAAATAGTTTAACACTGTTCCTCTTTCGGTTAAATAGATTTCCGAAGGTATCTACACCGTTTAAATAGGAGCATCCCTCTGGGGTTTATTGGTACTAGTTGTCCCTCTCTCTCGATAAACGAATTACTTATCGCAGTCGTTGTTTGAAAATGCCAGAGAATCACATCGATCGATGTTTGTCGGGTGGAGAGCTTGGGGAAGTTTTCTCGTCAAAGTTCAGAAGTGGCAACTTTATATACACATATATATATATATATATATAGGTAGATAGACATGTACATAAATACATGCATGTAGCGTTAATTTCAACTTCGTAATAGTGTTTATCAACAGGCTAAAACTTATCTGGAATTAGGACACGTTATAAGTTATATCGTGTGATGTGGTGTACATTCTGTGATAAGTTCTAACGTTTATGAACTGAAACATCTATAATTTAGTGGCTTATTCCAAGCCACATTATCAGGATTGTACCAATAAATAATTTTGCTCTTCTACCTATCTTTTTATTGAATCTGAATAAGCAAAATTACTCAACTAACCGAAAATTTAAAACGGTAAGCATCCAACTTCACATAACTCAAAACGATTTGCTTGATATAAAATTATGCGGGGCTTTTATTTAATATCTAGGTTCATGTAAGGAAAAAAAAGCTAGCCACGTCCCTAATAATCCTTCAGGGACGAATCGGATTCAACGTTATTGTAATTAAATAGGACAGTTTTTGTAACACAGTTCTATCGGTAACTTATTTGTGTATGCACAACTAAGATTTTAAGTTTTTAGTTTAGTTTTTCTTTCTCTGGTGTAAGATCGGCGTGAAAGTCGTGACTTTAAGAGCGATATTTAAG